GGAATATGCAAGAATGGCTGACAGGAGGAAAAAACTAATATGCTTTGTAAACTTTCATTCAAATCACAATTAAAAAAATAAGAGCTGCAACATGAATAGATTGATGCACACCCATGTTTATGGCATCATTATTCATAATATAATAGCAAAGAGATGGAAGCAACTCAAGTACCTCAACAAAAGTAGTTACGTGCACTGTAGTTCATTTACAATTGAGTACTGCACCACATTGAAAAACACTGAAGGGTAAATCTATACGATATTAAGTGAGGTGGGATAAATCAGTCATAAAAGGAGAAATATTATTTTAAGACCACTATTCTAAAAAGCTAAAAAGAGGTTTACACACATAGAGAATCATTCTTGTTTGGTTGTCAGCGAGGGAAGAGGATAGGGAGAGAAGTAGAAAATGAATAGATAATAAACACTTATGTGGGTGAAAGGAAGGACAGTATGGAATGAGTGGATCATTAGACATTGTGGATATTGTAATTAATGTTATGGAACAAAATGTGCATGCATGATTAATGGAAAAGTCAATATACTTTGTAAACTTTCACTTAAATCAGAAATTTTTAAAAAGAGACAAAATAACCTTTAAAAAAAAAGTAGCTCAGCTAAAATGCTCCACAGAGGAAGCAAGGATGAGAGACTTGGTCTCACACACTTTAAACATGCCATCAGGAGAGCCGGAATGTTTGGTCAAGGGAAGGATTAGGGGAGGAAAAGGAAGTCCCTCAATGACACTGATTGACAGATCCCTGCAACGCTGGGTGTGGGCACAGCACTGATTGTAAGGGGGCACAGGCTCGGCAATGTTCCATTCTCTTGTTGCGAAGTTATTGTAGTTGTTGTTGTTATGTGCCATCAAGTGAAAACTGACTCATAGCTAACCTTCCAGCAGGTTTTCAGAGGCTTTAAATTGCCGGAGAGGAGATGGTGAATTTTTCTTGGGAGAAACGGCTGGCAGGTTTGGACTACTTGCCTTTGCATTGAAAGCACAAAATTTACTGGAAGGTCAGTTTCAAAAACTTACTAGACACGACAGGGCAGCAATGAATCAGTGAAGTGAGGAGATATTTATAGTCTGTAATTTTGTTTTCTTTATGTCTTTTTCTGAGTAGTAGTAGTTTCATAAGATAAGTTGGAAAGCATTTCTTCTGTTTTAGAGGAGCTTATAAAGAGTGTTTACTCTTGAAATATTTGATGGGATTTACCAGTGAAGCCACATAGTCCCAGACTTTTATTCACAGGTAAATGGTTTGGTAGGGTTTTTAATTTTTTTTTTTAATCACTGATGTAATCTCTTTACGTGTAATATAGGTATTGACATTTTCCAATTTGTGGCCAACATATAAAAGCCAATTATGTGACAGTGCTATAAAATAACCACAAACAGGAAGAAGCTGGAGAGCAGTCAATTCTTGGAGGAATAAATGGCATTGGCTTTTTCTTTTTGTTATTTTTGCCACACTCACCCCTTCTCTCACCACTGTCCCCCCTTTACACACCCAGAGCAGGTCCTGTCATCACCATACATGGTAACTGGACATTGAATAGAAAGCCTTAACCACAGTGGTTTGAGGAGTCAGAGGACAGAATATACGGTTAATATAACAGAAAGTGAAGAAAAAAAAGTATTCATTCATTGTTGCATAATTTCTTCTTCCTGCCCACCCTTCCTCTACTTTGCTATGCACCTCTTATTCTGGACTGTTGCTGTATAAATAATGCCTAATCATATATTCCTTTTAAACAATTCTTTTTTTCATTTGTTCCAGTGCAGTGTTGCCTCTTTTCTTAGTTTCCCCTCAACCCCCATGTCAGTCCTGTTTTATAACAGTGATGTTATACAGTAAAAAAAAAGTGAACTGGGTGAGGGGTTAGGGAGGAAAATGTGTAACAATGAATGAATGAAAATCTATCTTTTCTGTAAACTTTTCTTAAGACCACAATTTAAAAAAGAACAAACAGGAAGAATCTGTGGCAACAGAAATATCATTGCTGATGTCACATTGATCCTGGCTGAAAGGAAAGAATAACAAAAAATTAAAAAGTGAAATAATAGTTTCAAAAAAAGAAAAAAATCCCAAGGTGACAAAAGAAAGCCCACAAAGGAAAGATCCACAGGGTATGAACCCCAGTTTCTCTGTCCAAACTCTGTCCAAATGTCTGGTGAATGAATGTGCTTCATGGATGTGTAGGTTAGACTCCAAGCAGCCCAGCTAAAGCTAAAAGAAAGGAACAGAGCTTGCAGCTACTGCCTGCTGCCTCAGAGACCTATTTGGGATGTGTACTAAGCCGATTTGCCTGCCTGTTAAAGTGGAAAATCAGCATTCAGAGAACACAATTCATATTCTTCAGAATATATAATTATAGAATCCATGATAGAATATAACATTAGTACACGGTAAAAGAGAGAAACAAGGAAAATATTGTCTACCCCCTCCCCTAAAAGAAAGGAAAAAATGGTACTTGAGTAAAAGAAATCAATGGAAATTAACTCTGAGACAATTAAAAATTTGAAATTAGCTGATAAGAATTTTAAAGCAACTCACATTTTTGTTTTGTTTTGTTTTTAATTAATTAATTAATCTATCTATCTATCTATTTATTTATTTTTCATTTCAATGAACATCTACAGAGATTTTGGAATTCTATTCATTCATTGTTGCACCCTTCTCCCAGCCCACCCCCCTCCCCCCACCCCACAACTGTCACATTTTTCAACAAATGTAAAGGAAAATAGAATGAATGCTCAGAGAAGAAATCTTGACTTATATAAAAGACTGTATGTGTACAAAACCATTAAGGACATGCTGAAGTGAAAAAATAAAGTATTGGATATTAAAAACAATAGTACAGTAGAGAAATTAAGAAGATAAAAATAGCAACATACTGCTTTCAATGAATTCTAATTCAGAGTGAGCATTTAGGCTAGACTACACCTATCCCATGAACTATATATAATCTTTACAGAAACAGACTGTCTAATCTCTCTCAGATTGTCCCTCCTTCTCCAGCAGAGCATCTGGTGGATTCGAACTACACAACTCTGGGATTGCAGTGCAGTGATCTTTAATCTAGAACAAGAAATGTATCCAATTTGAAAAAATGAGAGGAAAAGAACAGAAAGATTTATTAGGAAGATGTGATAATATTAAAAAAGATCTGTTATTATGTACTGTTGGATCTGACACATGCCCTTCACTAAGTTTTCAGAGGCAGTAAATTACACAGTAGGAGATTGCCTGTCTTTCTCCCATGGAGCAACTGGTGGATTTGAACCACACATCTTTGGGTTGGCAGCACCCTTCTATGAGTATGTTGTTGTGTATTGCTGAATTCGACCTGATTCATAGCTGATCATCCAGTGAGTTTTCTATGAGGCAGTAAATCGCATGGGAGTAGTTTTTTTGGTCTTAATCATAAGGAGAGATGAAGCAAATATAGTATTTGAATTAAATGTTACTGAAAATGCGTCAGATTTCAATGAATGACATAAATGTACATATTTTAAAATGTACATCCACACCCTGCCCTCAGGATTCTTGAAATAGGATAAATACATAGAAAATTGTTCCCAGCACAACAGAAGCTACTGGCAATCAAAGACAAGAAGAAAAAGTATCAAAAGCAGCAGGGTAAAAACAGTGCACCATAAAACAAAGATAGAGAAGGTGGATGCTTTTCATTATGCAGTTACAACTACAAGACAAGGGAGATGTGTGTGTGTGAATGCAAAATGAAATGTTTTTATTTTAAACTAAAATAACAACTATAGGTGAACCTCTCTATGTCCTTATGAAATCTTGTAGTTCTGTGAAAATTTAGTGACCATGTTCAACACTGGTGTAGGTAGTCCTATAGTTGAAGAATTAAATTCGCAGATACAGGTCAAGAAAGGAATGCGTCAGGCATATGTCCTTTATCCATACCTATTCAATCTATATGTGGAACAGATCATTAATGAGGCTGATTTTATGAGGAGGAAGGTGGCATCAAGATTGGAGGAAGACTCACCAATGGCTTGTGTTATACAGGTGACAACTTTGCTTGCTCAAACTCAGGAGGGCCTGAAACATTTGCTGCAGAAGGTCAAGAACTACAATCCTCAATATAGATTGAAGTGCAACATCAGAAACAAAGATTTTCACCACTGGGCCTATTGGCAGCACCATGATAGATGGAAAAGAGAATTGTTAACAATTTCAGCTTGCTTGGTTCCACAATCAATACTCTTGGCACCAGCAGCCGGAAATAAAGACTAGTTACATTAAGAAAACCCGCTGTCAGGGACTTCTCCAGAGTACTGAATTGCAAAGATGTCAGTCTAGAGACAAGATGTGCCTGATCTAGGCCATGGTCATTGCAATTATTTGCTATGCATCAGAGCGCTTGACCGTGACTAAGGATGAGAGAAGAATTGATGCCTGTGAGTTGTGGTGCTGGAAAAGAATGTTGAATATACACACCATGGACTACCAAGAGAACAAAGAGCTCTGACCTGGAGAGAGTGAAACCAAGTTTCTCCTTGGCAAGGATTTTGAAGCTGCATCTCACATAGTTTTGTGTGTGTTTCCGGGAGAGATCTGTCCTCCGAGAATGATATTAGGCTTGAATGCACACTAGAGGAAAACTCTGGACGAGACGGATTGACACAGTAACTGGGGAAATAGAAGTAAGTGTGTAGGAAACAGTGTGACTGGATCAGGATAGAGCAGGATTCAGAGCTATTGTGTATAGGGTCTCCATGAATCATAGTCGACTTGACAGCAAATAACAACAGGATAAATATCCAGCATCACATTAAGACTTAATTATCAGGACTTCTGACTTCTTACTCTTAATCCACTGATACTTACAGATAGGAAAATCTAATAGGATCCAAATGAAAATAGTCTGTTTTTAAGTAATAAAACTGAAAAAAACCAAAAAAAACCCAACAAAATCAAAACACACAAACAAAACAATGACCCCAAACAAAAGAAAATTCTGACCTTGCAACTGTCCTTCATTCCTTTGATACCTCCAGCACAAATCATGTCATTTTTGATGACTGGTTCCACCCCTGGTAAAAAGGTTCCAACTGGGTTGTAGAGTTGTTCACAAACTTTGCGTTCAATAATGGCTACTTCTAATTCCTGGAGAGTGGGAGAGACATCGATATCTGCAGAAATAGGAATGAGAGGTTAAAATAAGCTGGACAACATTCAGTCATGTTTGGGAACCCAAAACCCACATATAGCCATTTTCCAATCACCTTTACTAAATGTAAGGATTTTTTGGTACAGTTCATTTTAAACAGTATTTTTGGTGGTGTTAGGTGCCGTTGAGTCTAGTACGATTCGTAGTGCCCCTGTGAACAACAGGTCTGAAGCCTATCCTATCCTATTCCATCCTCACCGTCCCTGGTAACACGTGAGCCCATTGCTATAGTCTTCATGTCAGTACATCTTGTTGGTGGTCTTCCTCTCCTTTGCTGACCCTCCACCTCTCCAAGCATAATACCCCCTTCCAAGGAATAGCCTCTGCTAGCAACATGTCCAAAGCATGAGAGATGAAGCCTTGCCATCCTTGGCTCTGAAGTGCACTCTCTGGCTGCACCTTCTCTAAGACATACCTGTTCATGCTTTTGACAGCCCATGGGGCATTGAGTATTCTTTTCCAACAGATAACTTAAAATTATTTGTTTGAAATATTCCTCATGTACAAAGATAGGGATGTTTCTAATGTTCTCGATAAATTCTAATTCTAATGAATTCTGACTTAATGGCAACAAGCTGTGCTGCAATGCCAAGGGCACACAGTTCAAATCCACCAGCTGCTCTGTGGGAGAAAGATGAGCAGTCTCCTCCCACGTAATTAACTGCCTCTGAAAACCCACCGGAGAGTCAGCTATGGCAACAAGTAAACAAATAATGCTTCTAAAAGAATTCATTTTTCTACTTTTAGTTCTTATTCCCCCCCCCCCACTCTAACCTGGGATAGAGTTGATGCAACACTTTAAAACACCTAAGAAATAATAGATTACCACCAGACTTGATATCAAGTGTGTTAACTCCTACTTAAGATAAATAAGCATTTAGTGTCAATAACAGTTTTAGTTTACTTGGTTCCACAGTCAACTCTCTTGGTAACAACAGACAGGAAATCGGGAGACAAATTGCATTGGGAAAGTCAGTTGTGAGGGACCTCTCAAGAGTACTGAAGAGCAACGACGTCAGGCTGGAGACTAAGGTGTGCATGATCCAGGCTATAGTCTTAGCAATTAGGTTCTATGCATCGGAGAGTTGGACAGTGAATAGGGATGATAGAAAGATAATTGATACCTTTGAGTTGTGGTGCTGGAGAAGAGTGTTGAATATACCATGAATTCCTAGGAGAACAAACAGGTTTGTCCTGGAAAAGGTGAAACCAGAATGCTCCATGGAGTCAAGGATTCTGAAGCTTCGTCTGACATACTTTGGACATGTTGCAAGGAGGGACTGGTTCTTGGAGAGGGACATCATGTTTGGGAGAATGGAGGGACGGCGCAGGAGAGGAAGACCCTCGATGAGATGGATCGATTCTGTGAGTGGAGTGGTGGGAATGAGTGTGTTTGAGACGGGGAGGTTGGCATAGGATAGAATGGCGTTTAGGGCTCTTGTACATAGGGTCACTATGAGTTGCAAGCAACTCGATGGCACATGCCAATAAACAACATTTGTTCCTTATCCCACAGCTATATACGAGACAGATTTTAAAAGTAAATAAAATAAACATGTAAAGTATATGTATATATATTTTTAAAAATATTGGTACATTCAATAGATTGCTATGATTTTATTGCAAAATATTTACAATAGAACCGGTCTTCCCCAGAATCTGAAAGTTCTGGAGTAAATATGTAATTGCAAAGTATAAAGTAACTTTCTTACCTGAATATTCATCTGTTTTCCCCCATCCAGTCACCCAACAAGACTTTGGAATTGTCACTTGATTACTGATAGTGGGCAAGCAGATGGGCCTGATAAGTGAAGTGAAAGTGACTCGAGAGTACAATTTCAACAAAGCGATGTCAGCAGTCTTGTCCTTGTGGTTGGGGTGGATGACGATTTGGGATACATAGTGCTGTAAACCTTGACTTAAATAATCTGCATCAGTTGTTCCCAGCCACACAGTGTATGTAAGAAAAGTCCAGGTCCTAAAGGGAAGAGCAGAAAAGGTGGAGTATGCTTGTATGCTATAGCTGGCTCAGAGCAAAACAACTAGCTGTATCTCACAGTTCCTGAGGATCAGCATCAGGGTAACTTGGCTGGCACCTTTCTCTCAGAGTCTCTCATGAGGTTGCAATCAAGGTATGGGTTGTGGTTTTACCACAGGGATTGACTGGGGATGATAGGCATTCAGAATCCCTTCTATAACTTTTTTTTTT